ACCCTTAAAATATAAAAACATTTTCATTCGGTTATTGATTGTACCCTTAAAATATAAAAACATTTTCATTCGGTTATTGATGGTATTAATTGTAACTATATAGTATTGAATTATAATATCGTTTTACTGCTAGGACGAGCTAACTCTAGAGAAAGAAAAATAAAAGATTTGTCCCTAGCACCTTGGTTATTCTACTTTTAGACAGGCGGCCCCTGAAAATTGTACAAAGTATTGTTCAGCTGCGTGGAAGCCAAGCAGCAAAATACTTTTTTTTTAACTCAATATTCTTTGGCTTCCAGTTTTTAGCTGAATGTTAAAATTTAACATTCGAGGGAACACAACCACATGTCTTCAAAAAAGATATTTTTTGTCTTTAATGAACAATTTGTCCAGATGGAAATAATAAAAAGTCTACAAATGAACGATGTTTTGCGCGTCCACATTCGAAATCGCTTGAATGAAAATTAAAAATAAGTTTTTTAAAAGTTCCTATATATTTAAAATTTCTAACAACTTTTAAAATGATTTTGAAATGATTTTCTCTTAAGTTCTTATCCTTTTTATAACCAAATATATAAAATGAATAGTTGCCTAAAGAGGAAAGTCACGAAGGAGACACGAAGCCATTCATTTGCAAAACTGACTCAAACCTGTAAAGACCCAAGTTTACTCAGTCCAACAGGTTTTTCTGGTTTGACGTGTATAAGGACTAGCAAGGTATTTGGGAGTTTCCTTAGCATTGAAATGACTTTTCGTTTTCTGACTTTGAGAAAAACTCATCAATTGATATATAGTGAAGAAAACTACAGCATTTTCGCAACCCGTATCCGGGATGAAATAATAAATAAAATGAACTGAAACAAAAACAAACAATCTAGATATCTTGTTATATTCAGTCAAATTAGAGTAAKAAAAATAATAAATTAAGAAGGATTCTACCGTAAAAAAACCCTAAAATTTCTTATACAAGGCAAGGTATGAAAATGTGTGGGGGAAATTAACGATGCATTTTCCATTTGGGCAACAGCTTTTTTGACTCAATTCGAAAGAGTTTCATTCCGACAGATGATAATTTTCACAATTGTTTAAATATTTGTTCAAAATATACCTGTATTTATAATAACACTCAACTACTTTATCGTCTTTCGTTCACATATTGCCTATAAAAGATATGAAACAGCTTGGCAAAAATTAGATGTTTGACTATGCTGTAAATAAAAAACCGACTTTTTCTTTCTTGCTGAGCCAGTATAAACTGAGCCGAGTTAGTCGCCTCTGTTTAGCATTT